ATGGCGTCCCAAATTTCTAAGTCTTGAGACTCAATGAAGATTCTCATCCTAATTTTCCAGAAATTGTAATGTTCACCATTAAAGTTTGGTGGACGATTTATATTGGATCCCTCTCCTAGATATTCTCTTGAGGCCATAGTTAGGATCTTAGGAGAAAATTACCTAAACTTACGCTCTGATGCCAATTGCACCTAAGAGGGGGGGGGGGGGGGGGGGGGTGAATTATGTGTAGAGACTTAAATTGAATATTTCTACTTTTATTTTAAAACTTTGCAAGTTTAAAGAGAGTTTTTCTATGAGCGGAAGTATTAAACAAAATAGTTGAGTAAAAGTAGAAGATAATGCAAAATGTAAAAAGTTAAGGGAAAAGAAGATCACACCAAGATTTATACTGGTTCACCTTCAATTTGAAAGCTACGTCTAGTCCTTCTTGTTACAAAGAAGATTTTTCCACTATTGCAAGAACCAATGATACACCTTCTTCGTCTTCTTCCAAGACTACTCACCTATTCCACTAGGCACTAGGCTAACACCGTTCTTTCACAATATACTTCACTGCACCACACTTGGTGAAATGTTTACAAGACACTAACTTGTATTCTTAAGATGGTTTTTACAAGGCTTTTTAATAAGTGACTCTCTAATAGTAATTGAAGCCTTATGGATTGAATCACTCACTAAATGATCACTTAATTTAGAATCAAATAACTTGGACAAAGGCTTTTGTTTGTGCTTAAGACTTTGAATAATTTCCAGAATTGGAAAGATATGAAAATTGATATCAAAGTCTTAACACTTATGAATGAATGAGAGAAATTATGAGAACTTTGTGACTTTGTGAGTATGAAAGATGTATTCAGATTTTTGTTGAAAAACAAGTCATAGAACACCTATTTATAGTGTTTATTTCGTGCACATGAACCAGTATGAATTTGTGAAAAGTTAAGAGCTACATCAGTTCAATCAAAACAGAACCAATATACTGTTCTGATAAGTGTAATCGATTACCATACCAGTTAAAAAATTTAAAATACAAACTCAACGGATTGATGTAATCGATTATCAAACATAGTGTAATCGATTACAATGTGAAAAATGCACATATCTGATGCTTTTAATATGCTGTAATCGATTACATTATGTAAAATGCACAGGTCTGATTAGTTTATGTCATGTAATCGATTACCAGTATAGTGTAATCGATTACACTGTTTAAAAACAGAACACTTATGCTGTAATGCAAATAATCTTAGTTTCATGCATGAGTTTTTCAAAGATCAGCCTTTATCGTATAGTTAAGAGATTTTAAGTTCAAGTATCGTTTTACCTAGAAGACTTAGACTACACATATGAGTTTCTTTGACTTTTGATTTGCTAGTCTTCTTTTTGCATTTGATGACATAGTGAGCATCATCAAAACCTTAGCCATAGGTTGGGAAAGATCATCATCTTCACAGTCTCCAACCTTAGGATCTTTCCTCATCCCCACCAAACAACAACACAAGTCAGTAATTTATTCTCAACAACATATAAACATCTCATAGTTCATTTGCAAACATATATGATATTCACATATTTTCAATGTTTCCAAAACCACTTTCGTTATAAGTTTCCAACATTAAAACATAGATATTCATCTTCTATTTTGCATTAGAACACAAATTCATCTTCTCCATCTACCATTTTGCCCATTTTCCTCTTTTACCACGTTTTCATTTTGGGGGTTTTGGGGTTTTCATGAATCAACCCATAAACTCTTTCCATTTTTCGAATATCAACTCTAAACCAAGAGTTTACAAAAGAGAAACTGAATAAAATAAACCACAACTCAAAAGGAAGAGTTTCCATGGTTTCTCACATTTTAAGAAGAGATCCCACACACACCCAAAACGAGTTTGAAAGGGAGAAGGGGAGTTAGAATCATGAGATTTACCTCTTCTCAAGCTTCTAGATGATTCCCACTAGTCATTGCTCTCAAAATCACCTCATTCTCTCTTCTCTCTCAAGTTCTAACCCTAAAAGTGTTTGAGGGTTTCTATTTTAAAGTGAAATCATCGGGTTCTCGCTCAAGCGAACCATCTCTCACTCAAGCGAGAAAATCCAGCCATTTTAAAAATTCAGATCTGATGCTCTAGCTCAAGCGAGGATTCTCCAATGTCAACACCCTCTCCTTTTCCCAGGCGAGCCAAATCTCACCCAGGCAAGAATCCCAGGAAATCCTGGGAGCAAATACTGGGCCTCTCGCTTGGGTGAGGCCCCCTCGCTCAAGCGAGAAACACCCATAATACCCCAGATTCCCAGAATTTTCACTACACTTTAGGAAAATAAAATTAGGGTGTTACATACTGCCCAAAATGTGCAAGCACACTATCAACCACGCCGTCTCTAGGATAAAACAGTCAGTTCTCTGTTATCGAATTCTTACTGCACTGTAAGAACCAATCTTGAATACACCCACTATAATATGACTACCAGTGCTAATTCTCAAAATTCCCATAGTATGGCTATCAGTGCCAATTCTTTTCCCACAATCTGACTACTAGTGTCAGTTCTCGAAATTCCCGCAATTTGGTTACCTGTGCCAATTCTTTTCCCACAAACTGACTACCAGTTTCATTTCTCAAACTTCCAACAATATGGCTATATGTGCCAATTCCTAGTGCCACAGAAAGAAAGGGGGATAAGTTTGCCGGAAATGCATCGGCGGAAAATATGAGGGAGAAATAAAAAGTTATGTTAAAGTGTACACAACTTGGTGCAAGAAAATATGAAGGGAGGATGCTTCTATTTATAGCATGAGATTTTTTCAAAACTCTTGCATCCTCCTATGTGGGACTTGTGAGATTTTTACAAAATCTTCCAATGTGAGACTTGTGAATTTTTCCAAATTCTTCCAATGTTTTACTTGTGAGTTTTTCAATTTCACATCCAAAGGTCCCCACTAATGACATCTGTCACAACCCGATTTTCGGTTGGAAGACCGGCCCTGCGACTTCGGGAGATGCAAACTCGATTTCTACCTCTTCCAATTGATTTGGAGTCGCCACTATGTTTTTTGCGGATAAAACGTAGAAAACTCTCTATTATGCTCAAATTGGATAAAATGGTCTTAAAGCATAGATTATGAGCTCGGGAGTCGATTACGGATCAGGAAAGGTATTAGCACCTCGCCCGCCCTTAATAAAACGATACTCTCGCTAATAACATGAACTTTTATACCCTTATAATTATTTATTGAAATTCAGTAATAAAAGCGAAATGTTTTATTTTTTATTGTTGTGTCTGACAAGAGTTTAACTTGTTCCTAAGTATCCCTAGGTGCAATAGGGAAATCAAAGCTACGTAGTTTAGGTTTGAAAAATAATTAAATTGGTTTGAGTAGTTTTAAAATATGCTAAAGTAGTGAAGTCATATAATATGATTTTTCGAAAATACTTTTGATAAGGAATTAGTAGTTTAGAGACGGTATTGATCGCTCACCTTATTCCCATTTTCAGAGAAGTCAGAGTCGACTCGAACCATGACATTACTATAAAAATTACATTTAAACTCATTTAAGTAAAAAGATAATATAAATTCATTTAAGTAGATAAGATAATTTTTTAATTGACATATTTTGGAATGGGGAGGGATTGGAGTAAGTGGAAAAAACTTACTTCACATCACGACCATTCATTCTTGAGAAATCCAATGGTTTGAATTGGTGAGTACATTTAAACCATTGAATTTTCTAAAATTCGATGGCTAAGATGTGGAGTGTGTCTTTTCCACTAACTCTTGGAGTAAGTGGATCCCTCCCCTTTTGGAATATGAAATTAATAGTTTAGAAACGGTGTTGGTCGCTCACCTTCTTCCTATTTTCGGAGAATTCAGAGTCAACTCGAAACATAACCTTGCTATAAAAATTCAATTTAAAAATCGTTTGAATAATAAAGTAATTTTTATTTAAAATATTTTTTATAGGAAACTGCTACATGTTAACTTAATATTATAAAGAGAAAAAGTCAACTATGGTAATTATTAGCACGTTGCAAAACGGGCCGGATCGGCCCGGCCCTGTCCGGCCCGCCTTTGGCCCGCCAAAATATAGGTTGGGTTGGCCCGACCCTTATTACTAAAAGGGCTAAAAATGTCAGCCTGACCCATATTTGCAGGGCTGGCAGGCCAGCAGGCTGACCCGTTTTTCTTTTTCATTTCAAAAACACATTTAAATTACACTGGTATTCCATGAGTTTTTGTGAAATTAAACAAATTATCATTCCATTTTATACATTTACAAAAAACCATTAATTTATAAACATACATTACATTGATAAACCATTTATGAGATATGTAATTTTTTAAACAAAAAAGTGCTAAATATAATTAAGTTAAACAAAATATGATATATGATATAAATTAAACACTGATATATAAATGTCTTGTATTGTATATGATATAAATTACATTGATAATTAATTTACTAATAAATGTGTTATATATGAAAAATAAATTGGTTGTCACACTGTGCAAAATGTTCGGTTGGAAAACAATATTAAATTCACTAATTATTGGAATCACATGTAACCTTAAAATGGTAAAACAATATTAATGTTGGCCCGTCTAAAAAATGGGCTTCCAAACCAGATTAAATATGGGTTTTTGGGTTAAAATCTCCAGCCCGACCCGTCAAAATTGTCGATCAAAACGGGCTGGCCCGTCGGGCCAAGCCCATATTGCCATCCCTAGTAACATCATATTGCTTGAAGTATTAATGGATGTGTAATATGCTACCTGGACTTTGGTGAAGAAGATCCAACAAAACAAAATCTTCTTTTGGTGGTTATAAACTACCAAATAAAGCCACCACTTAGTACTAACTCATTACTTTGCCATCATCTCTTATTTGCTCCTTTGATTTGATAATGGCAAGTTGACAACCAATAAAAAATGTCACATAAATTTTTATTTGTTTCAAGAAGTTGCACCACTAATTGTATAACCTTTAGTGACAATAGGAGTATATCTAAAACAAAGAATCTGCCACCTCATGAACAATCAAACTGAAATCATCTGTGGAGTTCCAGAGGTTTTAGGTACTCATTGTGGACATTTATATTTGAAGTAATTGGTGGTGATACTATAGCTTGGAGCGTTGAAGGTTGAGACAGCTAAAAAAGTGAGGAAACATTAGAAATGGAGGAGCAATGAGGTGGTGGGACTCTTGTATAGGCAATTATTTTCAAGTGCTAAAATTTAGGATTTTGTTGTTGTTGGGAGTAGTTGGATCTTTGAAGGTTGAGACAGATCTATAAGTTCATTATATGCAAGTAATACAAGAAAATTGTGCTACGGTGTGCCCATAACAGATTTCTAGGATTTGTGCGCATCAAATAGAAGTAGCTGGATAGAAAAGCCAAGGAATGATGGGTGGATGATGATTAGGTGTTTTTTGTTAGACACTACTAGCAAGAAGGAAAGTTGCAAGATTGAGTGAATGAATGAGTTTTTTTGTTTCCCTGCTTCTCTATTTAGAGCTAACCCCCTTCAAGATGTTGGAAGATGGAATATGAATAGAGACATTGAGAAATACGGAAGTTAAAAAAAACTTCCCGTATGAGGATCTCTTATGGCCATTAAAAGAAGCATAGAGTTTTTTGGGTGAAGATATAGAGTTTTTTTTATTCTTTTCGGAGTTGTTACAAGGAGGTAGGATTTGAAGTGGGTTAAGTTACAAAGTTGAATGAAATAAAATGATATTGGTTGATGTAGGCACTAGTCCAACCAGTAAGATATGTATTGGCTTTATGCTTAACAACCCTCCATTTCCCATGTTACGTTATACTTTAATGATTGCAGTAAAGTGTAACAAATGAAGAAGAAGATGACCTTCTGTTGACTGTTTTGCAATTTCCTTAATACTAGTAGATTTTTTACTTAAATATGTAATTGCACAAAACTAAAAGTTAACTAAACTTCCCATAAATTAAAGGTTATGAAATTTGTTGTTAAGAAACAAACAATCAAGGAGGATTCAATTGGTCCCAGAATATCTAAAATAATATTCTGTAATATATTTTATAGGCCGGACAAAATCGAGTGTTCACAGCTGCCCCTCTTTACTTGTTGCTAACTTGAAAGCAAGTAAGCTGAAGTTTGTATGCTATTATAGTAAGTAACTAGTAAAGAAATGAACATAAATTTTGTCAATGCCTAGACAATGGACACAATGCATCAGTTAGAACAAGAGTGTATGAATACATGTGTCACTCTAGACAATAAAACTAAATATGCGAGTACTCTGTGGCTCGAGACAATAAAACTAAATATGTGAGCGCTCAGTGGATCGAGACAATGAAATAAATATGCGAGCGCTCAGTGGCTCGAGACAATGAAGTAAATTTGTGAGCGCTCAGTGGCTCGAGACAATAAAATAATTTTGCGAGCACTCACTGACTCGAGACAGTAAAATAAATTTGTGAGCTCTCAGTGGCTCGAGATTCACATCAGGCTCAAGGTCCTGGAAAGTTATAAAAGCACGCCAGGCTCAAGGTCCTGGAAAGTTATAAAATCACGTTAGACTCAAGGTCCTGGAAAGTTATAAAAGCACGTCAGTCACAGGGTCCTAGGAAGTAATATAAATTTACGAGCATGTCGGTCTTGAGACGATAAAATAAATATGTGAGCACTCAGTGGCTCGAGATTCGCAGCTCGGGGTCCTGGAAATTTATAAAATCACGTCAGGCTCAAGGTCCTGGAAAGTTATATAATCACGTCAGGCTCAAGGTTCTAGAAAGTTATAAAAGCACGTCAGGATCAGGGTCCTAGGAAGCAATATAAATTTGCGAGCATGTCAGGCTTGAGACGATAAAATAAATATGCGAGCACTTAGTGGCTCGAGATTCACATCAGGCTCGGGGTCCTGGAAAGTTATAAAAGCATGTCAGACTCAGGGTCCTGAAAAGTTATAAAATCACGTCAAGCTCAGGGTCTTGGAAAGTTATAAAAGCACTTCAAGCTCATGGTCACTATTCCTCAATTTAAAAGGGAATTTATTTTCATTGAAGTCAACATCATTAGACTTAATGATCACTTTCGCGTTAAGGTCATAAAACCTGTACGCCTTGTTGTTCAGAGCATACCCAATAAATACACATTCACAGGCTCTACAAGCGAGTTTAACTCTCTTGTGGTCTGGTATCTGGACATAAGCCAGACAACCCGAAGTTTTCAAATAAGACAATTTTGGTTGTCTATTCTTAAAGATTTCATATGGGGATATTTTGCTTTTAGCCTTGGGGACTCTATTTAGAACATGGCAAACAATCAATAAAATTTCACCCCACCAAAAGGGTGCTGCACCAGAACTTAACATAATAACAACTACTAATTCAGTCAAAGCTCTATTCTTTCTTCCAGCTTTACCATTCATTTCAGGTGAATATGGTGTAGTTGTTTCATGAATAATGCAATTTAATTTATAAAAATCATTAGACATGCTAGAATCATACTCAGTGTATTTATCGCTTCTGAGTTTCTTTATTTTCTTATTAAATTGATTTTCAATTTCAGTCACAAATAGCTTCAACATGTCAAGTGTTTCACTTTTATTTTTCATCAGATATACATAAGTGAAATCATAGTAGTCATCTATAAATGTTATAAAATATTATTTACAATTTCTGGTTAACGTTCCATCTAATTCACATATATCAGAGTGTATCAAATCTAAAGGCTCAGATTCTCGCACTACTGATTTATGTGGTTTTTTAGCTTGACTGCATGATTCACAATTTTCAAAATCATTTTTAGACAACTTAGAAATTAATTCTAAGTTACTTAAATTCGAAATAGCACGTTTATTAATATGACAAAGCCGAGAATGCCAAATATTAAAATCACACATGATGTAAACTGAATCAGAAATTTTATTCATCAAAACATCAACATTTAATTTAAACTTGCCATCCGTGGCGTACCCATTCCCTACAAATACCTCATTCCTAATAAGAGTATACAAGTCTGCTCATATGGTCTGGGTAAAACCAACCTTATTAAGAAGAAAGCCAAAAACTAAATTCTTCATCATCTCCGGAGTGTGCATCACATATTTGAGAATCAGAGTCTTACCAGATGTAAACTTCAACTCCACATCACTAGTTCCAACAACAATAGTGGTGTGAGAATCTCCTAATAACACTTTCTTGTTATCAGCATTCGTGTATGTTTTGAACATAACACGATCATAGAAGACATGGTGAGAGGCACTAGTATCTACACACCACCCATCAGTTCCTCCAACCATAGTAACCTTAGTTAACATTGCCACAAGTGGCTCCTCAATCATGTTGTCTTGTGGAGTATGATCCACTGGTTGGTTTCTGCACTTGTGTACCATATGACCTGACTTTCCACATTTGAAGCAGATAAATAGGTTGCCAGAGTCATTCTTAGCGGATGGCTTAGCATATTGGACCTTATGAGGGTTCCAATTCTTGTTGCGGCCGGTGTTCCTAGCCTTATTCCCATTACGGTTCTGATTCTTAAAGTTGTTGCTCGTAGGCTTCAGAATCGCACCTGAGAATTTCTTCTTAGTGCTTTTGTTTGAGACAAACAACACCTCATCTTTCGGATCATGTCTATGAGCCTCTTCTTCAATGAGAAGACGAGTGATAAGAGATTCCAAAGAAAATTCTTTTGTCTTGTGCCTCAGGACATTTTTAAAGTCCTTCCAGTTAGGTGGCAGTTTGTCAATAATGTCAGCCACTTGAAATTGCTCATCTAGATGCATACCCTCAGAAATGATCTCCTGAGCAATTTTATGTATCTCGTAGGATTGGGACTCTACTGATTTATCATCAGTCATCTGATACTTGAGGTAGCGGCTAACAACATATCTTTTAGTCTCAACTTCCTCAGTATCATATTTTTTTCCTGAAGTGCATACCAAACTAATTTGGCAGACTATAGTAATCATAAAGATCATCAGACAACCCATTTAGAATGAAATTCTTACATAAGTAATCATTTTCATCCTAGAGAGTTATATCAATAGCAATTTTATCCCTTTCCTCTTTTTCAACTTGTTCAGGCAACACTGGGACATCAGTTTTCAAAACATGGGCAATCTTTTTCACAGTGAGGAAAAATTCCATCTTGGTTTGTTAGCGTTTAAAATTAGTCTCATCAAACCGAAATGGTTTGTTAAAGTCGAAGATGTTCAGACCAGTAATATTATCTACGAATGTCATTGCAGTAGAAAAAGTCTTAAAATTGTTGTTACCGTAACTTGCAGCAATTTTCAATGGCATGAAATAATACTTACTGGCTGAGTCATGACCAAATCGTTCTCTTTAAGATGTTTCGTGGTACTGCCCAAAATGTGCAAACACATTATCAATCATGCCGTCCCTAGGATAAAACAGTCAGTTCTCTGTTATCGAATTCTTACTGCACTGTAAGAAACGATCTTGAATACACCCACCACAATATGCCTACCTGTGCCAATTCTCGAAATTCCCACAGTATGGCTACCAATGCCAATTCTTTTCCCACAATATGACTACGAGTGTCAGTTCTCGAAATTCCTGCAATTTGGCTACCTGTGCCAATTCTTTTTCCACAAAATGACTATCAGTGTCAGTTTTCGAACTTCCCACAATATGGTTGCTAGTGCCACGGAAAGAAAGGGGGAGAAGTTTGCCAGAAATGCGTCGGCGAAAAATATGAGGGAGAAAGAAAAAGTTAAGTAAAAGTGTACTCAACTTGGTGCAAGAAAATATGAAGGGAGGATGCTTCTATTTATAGCATGAGATTTTGTCAAAAGTCTTGCATCCTCCTATGTGGGACTTGTGAGATTTTTTACAAAATCTTCCGATGTGAGACTTGTGAAATTTTCCAAATTCTTCTAATGTGAGACTTGTGAGTTTTTCAATTTCACATCCAAAGGTCCCCACTAATGGCATCTAACTACACAAGTTCCAACAGTGTGTTTCGGTTTCAATCAACAAAAGAATTTATTTTATGTATAAGGAACTGTCCTTCAATATATTTATTCTCGAATCTATTTCAAGATTCAATTGTACTATACTATAGTGTTATGTCAATCTCACAAGGAATTGCAATAGAAATATGAATCATACTTTAGTTTTACATCAATAACAAGGGAAAACATATTCATGATTGGTTTTGTGTTGCTTTAAAGTGAAGTGATATTCAAGAAAAGTAAAACTAACTATTTGCAATTCAAAAGTAGAATAATGTTTGGAAATGGAAGTAAAGTTCTTCACTATTAAAATGATTGATTATGCAAGTTATTGTTTTATGTTTGATTTCACCACATATCATTTCTTAACTTG